AAAAAGGTCTTGTGCAGCAGATTTGCCTAATGCAATACGTCGTCTGATTTCTTGACTGCTGCTTCTGTTTGACAACTTCAATCTTTTCTCCATTAATAAGAATGTTGTTTATTGTTCCAGTGGTGAGGATTTTTGTTTTCTTTACATTGAGATGCAATCCATACCGAAGGCTATGGCTTTATATTAAGTAATATTGAACATTGGTCACTCAACACTGCTATACTATTATTTTATTTATGAAAAATAGAATGTTGTGGATAAACACACCCACTAAAAAGGAATGCAGTATCTTTGAATAACAGACACAACATCTAAACTGACCAGTAGTAACATTTCCGACTGTTGTTCATCAGAATTGACTGTAAGGAAACTAATAACAACAGAAACTACTAAGGGTGCAACCATCTCTTTTGCATTAGAACTACAGACAGGAAAATATGTGTTGAAACACTGTTATTATGGTGGTGCTGTTGTTAAGTGCCCTGAAATTGGTTCTGACTCAGAGCGACCCTGTATAAGGTTTCTGAGGCTGAAAATACTTGCAGGAGCAGAAAGCTTCATCTTTCTCCCATGGAGCGGCTAGTGGGTTTGAATTGCAAACTTTGTGTTTCACAGTTCAGTGCTTATCCTACGGAGCCAGAGAATATCTTATTTTTGCCCCCTTTATGGTGATATATTTTTTTAAGACACCAAGGAAGTCTCAGACTTCATACCGAAACAAAAGTCAGGGACTTGATAGGAAGCGATAGGAAGTTCAGGAAGTCTGCCTTTTTCATTTGGAGAGGTCATAACCACACTAATTACAGAAGCTGTTTTGTAAAATGTCTTGCTTTTCAAACTCCAGTCACATCTTAATTTCTCCCTTTCCCTTTCTAAACTTTACTCCATGGAAAAGCCACTGTGGCTGCTAATTAAACTATGACTTTTTGTTACAGATTTCATTTCAGATTATAATACAAATGGCTGCTCAATTATCCTAGCCAGTATCCATCTACCTTGGCGATAATCAACTGAGCCCACAACTGAGTCAGAAAGTACGATCTATAATAGGTGGTTAGAAAAGTGAGGTCAGAAATTACATGGTACCAAGATAAAAACTAATTGTAATTGCCCTAGAATTCTAAAACCATAAAGAATATCATACATTAACTTTTAGACTGGAAGAAAATCTTAATGAAGAAGGAGGACATTTCCATGGTCAACAGAATAATTCCTTAAACCATGTATTTACAAAAAGCCCTCTAAACCAGAACCCCACAGCCTTGGAGTGTATTCCAACTCACAGAGACTCTGTACAGGGATTCCAAGGCTATAAATCTTTATGCGAGCAGAATGCATCATCTTTTCTCTCACAGAGGGGCTGG